TCCTCACCCCACGAGGTAAAGAGTTTGGCCAATGGATATCCGATGCCTAAGTCAGTTTTTTCTAAAAAAGTGAGTTTTGGAGCTTAAGCGCGTAACAAAAGCTTAACAGAATTTGGTGGAAATAGGGTATTTATAGGGAGATGGTCGGTCTAGGTGTAGGGTTTTGTCTTCCATTGGCGAAGGTGAGGAAAGAATAATCTCAAAGATTTTAATTACGAGATAATATCTTGAGATGATCATATTGACATTCTTAATTGAATGTGATGAATATTCCTTACTTGTTTGAGCTGATCTTAAATTTATGAGAGTATTAGAGATATAATTTGACAAGTAATCATATCTTTAATGCCTTTAATTTTTCTTCTTTACCACGAACGAAAGAGCTTAATGATGTTGTAATCAGATGCTCAAACCTTCATGATGTTAGGCTGCGTCTAAGAATATTTGTAGACCTGCCCATCTAATGAGGACATCCTCACCTTATTAGGAAAAATGTCTTTGCTAATTTCGATCTTATTCTTTACCCGATTTATCACTTCCCGATGCAAACACCGGAAAAACAAAAAAAATTTGATTGACTGTAACAAATTCTTGATCTCATTTCCATTCATTTTCTGATATTACTTTCTGAATTCATGATTTTCTATGTATTATTTTTCTTTCCCTCATCTTTTCCTCGCACGTATTATTGTTGGGATATTATATTCATACATTATAAGTTACTTTCACACTTTTTTAATTTTTAAATATTTTTTTACCAAATGTTAGTGATGTGTAAAAAATATTAAAAAATTAAAAGAATGTGAGAAAAGTAATTTGATGCGTGGGAATATAATCTCTCTTATTATTTCGTTAAAAAGAAAATGTTCACGGTGGGGACCACAATGTTTCCAGTAAAAAATCACTCACCTCGTTCTTTTCACCCTTTGCAATTTGCATTTCATCATCTTCTTTTTATTTGAAAAGGAACACAAAGCGACATCACTCCTTCACCCAAAAACCCCAGCAGCAGTCAACACTTTCAAGGAATTCAAACATGGCTTGCTGCTCCGCCCTCTGCTCCCCCAAATTCCTCCTCCTCTTCCTCCTCCTCTCCGCCGTCCCCATCGCCTACCTCATCTCCCTCGAGGTCGCCAAACCCGCCACCCACGTCTACCACTACCACAGCACCAGCTGGTTCCGCGAGTGCGCCAAGTGGGACGATCTCAACCGTCGCTTCCTTGTCTCCTTCATAGACGGCGGAATCGGCCAAGTAACGGTGCCCAACGACGATCCCGATGCGGTTCTGGTGGAAGTCCCCGTGGTCAAACACGTTGACTTGGCCGGAAATGCTTCGCTCGGACTCCTCATCGACCGGCCCAGGAATCGCCTCCTCGTTGCCACTGCTGACGTCAAGGGCAACTTATATAGTGCGCTGGCGGCCTACGACTTGTCCACGTGGGAACGGGTGTTTCTCACTCAACTCAGCGGCCCAAGTAAGTTCCTCTTTTTGATCGTTGATCTTCATCTGGCCCGTTACCCGTTTGTTTTACTTTCATTTTTACCGCTTTCTCTGGTTGATGGTGGGTAAACCCCACGTCAACGGACGGTCTGGATTAAATTTCACTTACTAAAGCTTGTATTTTTGCCTTGCAAATTTGGAAATATAGTTGAATTATTATTAAAAAAGGTCGATTTGCTTCTAATATAAGCGCTTTTAGTGAAAACGCTTATGATCAAGTGCTTTTCCATACGCGCCTTTGAGTTTTGGTATGCCATCCACCAGGGGACATTTGCTTCAATTCAGGTAGCAGCCACAAAAGTAGCTAAACCTATCTATCTGATTAGTGGTCAAGTACGTTTGAATGTAAAAGCATAGATTGGTAGGATTTATTTCTGAACAATAACTTTTATGGTGTTGTCTGGCAAGTTCTGATTAAATCTGGTTATGGTATGCTTTTATTTTTGCGATAGAAGTGGTTGGTGTGCTATTGTTTGTCTTCTTTAAATATTTTGGTTGGTGGTAGTGAGACTAATGGTTGTTGATCAAACTAATGAATCTTTACACATAGGCAGGTCCACCTGTTATCATTTTTATTTTATTTTAAACAATCGTAGATGTGGTTGGGGGGTTATTTAAGGCCTCGTTGGAAGTGTTTTTAAAATGATTGAAAATGCCTTTGGTGAAAATGGTTTTGGAACTAATTCTTAGTAAAAATGCAAGTGAATCCTGGACACGCACTTGAAGTGTTTTCTTCTAAGAAGCACTTTGTGGAACTCAAAAACATTTTCTCTAAAAACGGTTTTAGTCATTTTAAAAGCACTTCCAAACAAATCCTAAGTTATGTAAGAATAGAGACAGATGGGTAGACAACAAGGAATCGGTGAGTTATTGCCGTAGGCACCGCATTACTTGAAAGAGACGAGAGACATGGGGTTGTTACGTGTTAGTATTAGTCGAAGTGTATTTATGTACTTTTGTTATTCCACTAATTGTAAGCACCACTACTAAAACTATTCGTACCATTTTTACTACAAATATTGGTTACCTCATCTCTCACACACAACATGAGACATATCTATCAGCGGTACAGTTCACAATAGACTCGCAAGATGTGGTTGGTAATGTGGTTAGCAAATGTAGTATACCTGTCAATTACTCAAGTGCTAATTGGTGTTTAAATGACTAATCAAGAGAGATTCGATTTATTGAAGCTGTTCACTTTTGACTGTAGGTCAAATACTTGTGAGTAGACTCTATCTAACACCACCCAAAGATGAAAACTGGACTAAGATATGAAAAGGTTTCTTCTAAGGTCCTCTTTGGATGGCTCACCTACTAAGTTGGCAGTTTAAGGACTCTAAATTAAGTACAATGTGGCCAAGTTTGTTTATTACTAACATCCTTTTAGTCATGTACCGAGATTTGAAAAATATTGGGAGCAGCCTCTCCATAAATGGGGGTAAGGCTAGCCGACATTCACCTCTCCCAGACCCTGCGTAAAGCGGGAGCCTTGTGCACTGGGTACGACCGAGATTTGAAAAATATGGACAAAGTAAACTATATAAACCCCTTGAAGCTTGAAATTGTTGAAGCATTTTTTTATCCATCTCGCCACATTTTTGCATCCTTTGATTGGTGTGGATAAATGTTTATTGTCAAAATCGTTATTACAGTTCATAGATATGATTTACATCCCATTCTCCGTTTTTTCTGTTGATGTAGGTGATGAGAAATCATTCGCAGATGATGTTGCAGTTGATGCAGAAGGTAATGCATATGTGACAGATTGCACAGCCAGTAAAATTTGGAAGGTTGGAGCTGACGGGAAGCTCCTATCTACAATTAGAAACCCTCTCTTCAAAGCAAAGGAGTGGTACAAAAACTTGGTTGGCCTAAACGGAATCGTTTACCACCCAGATGGCTACTTGATAGTTATTCACACTTTCAGTGGCAAATTGTTGAAGATTGATCTAGCAAAGGGAGAGGAAGTGAAGCTTATTGAGGTAGCTGGAGGACCGCTAACATTTGGGGATGGTCTAGAGCTCCTATCTCCCACCAAGGTTGTAGTTGCCGGCAACCCTTCTGGTAGATTAGTGGAGAGCTCTGACGGGTGGGAGACAGCTTCCGTTGTGGGAAAATTCTCAGGCCCAAGGCATCGGTTGGCCACAGCAGCAACCGTGAAGGACGGGAAGGTGTATCTCAGCCACATGGTTGGCATGGGATACCCCAAGAAGACGCATGCCCTCGTTGAGGCAGTCTTTTCTGCCTGAAAGCTGGACTTGTCTCAACTTCACAACCGCCATCGTATTCATATGTAGATTAGATGTTGTCTGCGGAGTTTCAATTTGATTTCTACATCAGTAAACCACATTTCTACGTTTTGAGCGGATAGGCGCGTCGTCCTTGAATAGCCTCTGTAACTTTGGAATCATCCGAGAGGGCGATTCCCGGCTTCCATTGTCTCCCATTCTCTCTTTTGGTTTGTTTTATTCCTACCGTAAACGATCCTTATATTTGGGTTGGGCTTCCTACTTTCCCTTGTTCTTCTCGTGGGTTGAACATAAACGGGCCTGGTTTATAAATGAGATGTTTGGGCTTCTTGTGGGCCTGTATTTAAAATTCTTTTTCTTTTCCTTTTTAAAGTAGAAAACAAAGCGTCGCCTCCTTTTGCTACACGACAATAAGTTTGGGTGCAAAAACCATTAAGGGCTACGACCCATACAGCTATTAATCCCAACAAAAAAACATTGTCACGACTCATGACTCACGTGGTAGGAAATGGACAATCTCATCAGGAATATCAACTCAATTCATATCTGCATTTATTGTAAATACAGAACACGATTCGGTTCATCAAATGTTATTGTATAAGTGGTTGATCAAATGTCATTGTACAAGTGGTTGATTTTTTTTTTTTTTTAAATATCCAAGTATTTGTATTATGAAATTTGATGTACAAGCCATGTACTCAATACACTGAAAAATCTCTTGTGAATACGAGATGATTTATGAGAGATAATTGTATGCATTGTGTATGTATTTGGCGATTTTCAGATTTTCCGATGACTTTTACAACAAGGTGAAATCAAGAGGATAATAGTGTATAAAAATCAGTTTCCAACCAGAAAATGAGTGTAATGCTCTGATTTTGACATCTTGTTAACATGAGCTAGAAGTGTTATGATTTGCAACTTTTTGAAGCTTGATCACTTTCCCCTTTCATATGTGTTCTATAAATTAAACAAATTGAGTAGATTGCAAAGCATATAATATAACGCAGTGATAAAAAATAATTATACCTATCTACTCTAACGAATGTAGATTTCTACCGATCATTCTCCCTCCTAACTAAAAAAATGATGTTTGTTAAAATGACATAGTACGCTCCTCCGACCATGCATTTAAAATCGAGTGACACGTACTACTAACCGATATCAGACGAGGCTATACATGTCATTTCACACGTAGAAATGTAGTTATGTTGTCAATTTCATAAAACTATTTTTTTAACAAGTAATTAACCACCCCACTTTCCCAATTAGCAACTGTTCCTTTGCTCTCAGCACGCTAACTTCTCACACTCTCAAATCTGCAAACTTCTCTGCACATGCATTTTCCTTTACTAATTTCCTAATTCTTTTCCTTTTTCCGCATCCCAAATCTACCAAAAATCTCCCAACACTCTCCCAATGACTCCTCAGTCCCACTGAGAAATTCAGAAATTATGGAAAGGCAGAGAAGTTTCTCTTTCAAACCCACCAGATTCTTGGTGTTTTCTTTCACCATCTCTTCATCTCTAATCTTTCTCACTTTCTTTACCATCTGGCTTACTAAATCCACCCCTTCAATCCCCCAAGAAACCCACTTCCCGTCCGTAGCTATTCAGACTATAACCGGCTTCAGCGGAAATTTATCCGTAAATGCTCTGAAAGATTCGATCTTTGAAGGTGCCCATTTGAGTAAACCGGAAAATGCATCTGGGTTTTCTGGGGCTTCACTTACAGGTGATTTGCAGAAGAAGAAGAACGAATCCCAAGTTGCAGAACACGAAGAGGGAGGAGCAGGCGGTGGGCTAAATGGTAACTTCACATCGATGGAGAAAAGTGCTCCGGCAATCCTGTTTCTGAAGATTGAGAGTACTGAAGAGCAAAATGCTGAATTGAATAGGACTGGAGGGCAAAATGCTGAAGTAAATAGGACTGGAGGGCAAAATGCCGAATTGAATAGGACTGGAGGGCAAAATGCTGCACTGAAAAAGATTGAAATTTCAAGTGATGGAGTGGTTGAAGAGAAGAGAGTGAGAGGGTGTGATTTTACAAGAGGGAGGTGGGTATATGATGAGAGCTATCCTCTGTACACAAATGTGTCCTGTCCTTTGATAGATGAAGGTTTTAATTGTCAGGCCAATGGGAGAAAAGATAAAGACTACATGAAGTGGAGGTGGCAACCGCAAGATTGTGACATTCCAAGGTAGTTTCTATCTCCAATCCTTTACTTGAAAGAACAGCAATTTTTTTTTTCCCGAGAAATATACGATGAATTGATTGTTTAAGCTTTGGTATTTTGGCCTGGACACAACAATGTAGTTAGATAAACTGCAATCATGATTGTTGAAGTAGTGTATGCTTGCACGTGCCCTAGGTTCAATGCTACGAAAATGCTGGAATTGATGAGAGGGAAAAGACTAGTTTTCGTGGGGGATTCGATCAATAGGAATCAATGGGAATCCATGATGTGCATGTTGATGTCAGCTGTAAGAGATCCAACTAGGGTCTATGAGACGCATAGGCGTAGAATAACCAAAGAGAAGGGGAATTACAGTTTCAAATTTGTGGTAATTCTTCAGATTGTTCTCTGCTGTTTAATTTGCAGGTTATTATCATGTGTTTTGTTTCTGAAGTAGTGTTCTTTATATAGGATTACAAGTGCACAGTTGAATATTATGCGTCCCATTTCTTGGTTCATGAAGGCAAGGGAAGAGTAGGTCAGAAGCGGGTGCAAACCTTGCGAATTGATTCCATCGATCATGGATCATCTAGATGGAGAGGAGCTAATATTTTGGTATTCAACACTGCTCATTGGTGGACCCATTACAAAACTAAAGCCGGGTCAGTTCCATTACCGAACTATTATCAAGCTTTTCAGGATCTAGGGTACCATGCTCGTTGTTGGGAGATTGTACTCGTCTTGAAATCTGATGATGGGTTAAAACTGAAAAATGACATGTTTACAGTATGCAAGTGATACATCTATTAAGTATCTTGAATGGGAAACCTGATCTTTGAATCTTGTAACAGGATTAATTACTACCAGGAAGCGGGCCAAATTCATCCGCAGCTTGATGTTTCCGCGGCTTTCAGAAAAGCTTTGATGACTTGGGGATCATGGGTTGATAAACACTTCAATCGCAAAACCCAAGTTTTCTTTCGAAGTTCAGCACCATCCCATTTCAGGTTAGCTTGTGTTCATATTGCAGCAATGCTAAACTTGTGCAAGTCAGTTGCTGATTAATTTATAACTCATTGAACAGGGGAGGTCAATGGAATTCGGGTGGGAGTTGTAAGGAAGCAACCCAACCCCTCCAAACTTCGAGCTCTTCTTACTCTGAGAAGAATACAATTGCAGAAGAGGTCATAATGCAGATGAGAACTCCTGTGAAATTCTTGAACATAACCGGCTTGTCCGAATACAGAATCGATGGTCATCCGTCTATATATGGAAGAAATTCTAGAAAGTCGGGGATTCAAGACTGCAGTCATTGGTGTCTTCCTGGCATTCCTGATGCATGGAATGAATTGTTGTTTCTTCATTTGCTGCAGTAATTGAGGCTAAACCGGTTTTTGTTTCATCTGACTTGTATATAATTCTTCCTTTCAAGGATATTGCTATTCACACTCATTTTTACCTCCCACACACTCATTGTTATTTTTAGCCATTGAGCTTTCAATTCATTCAATCCGACGATCAAAAGTTAAATGAAATGTGTGAGAAGTAAACATGTTATAAATTTGTTCACTTTGCTGCATGGCTGACTAGGTAGCTTGTAATTTTGGTTTCCATCTTCTGTCATAAAGGGGCTATTGATTTTTTTGTCTTCCGTTGTGTCTCACACTTGCCCTTTTGGTCCCTTGAATGCGTAGGACGAACCCTAAAGTAAAGGGTAAAGGGTAATGTTAGGAATATTAAATTTTGTAAACTAAATGACAAAAATTAATAATTAGATTATTATTTAATTGTTGATTATCGTGCTCATTTTTTTAGAGTAATGTTAGATAGACTAAATTTGTAGATAAAACTTATAAACTAAATGATCTGTTGCTAATAAAAAATGAGTGCGTTTATTAACCCTTTAAGTAATAATCCAATTATTAACTTTCATGTCATTTAGTTTACAAATTTTAGTCATCAAATTAAGTCTCCATATCATTACCTTATTTTTTGGTGCTAACGCATTATTTAGTTTGCAAATTTAGTCAACAAATTTAGTGTACCTAGCATTACTCCTAAGTAAATAGTCGATTTATCTTGCTGCCTTTCGACCAGGAAGGTGTTTATTTTTTGAATAAACAATATTATCTATACTAAGGAAGAGAATGGTGAGCTTAATCTCACAATTAACTAGCAATACTGTGATACAAATTTGCTTTTGACAATAATCGAATCTAAGATCTCTCACTTACAAATGAAGAGTAATACTACTAGACCGTAATACTAAATGTCTCGACCAAGGTCTTAGAAAGTTGAGTTGGCATATATTAAGTTGGGCTGGACTTTTACCTAAAAGTTGTTTTGGGCTTTTACTGCCCTTGTTTAATAAAGTTATTCTAACTACTATACTCTAAGTACGAAGAAATTTTCTTATATCATTATTTTAACACGAGTCAAATATTTATGAAAAAATGAAATTTTGGTCACCTAACCACATTCAAATTGCACGTCTTTTTCAGGCTTTTAACCAGGGAGTCATCAGTGTTTTTGCTAGCTTCATACCTCGAATTTAAGATCAGAGAGCAAATCTGACTTAGAATTCTACCGTATTTCCACTTGACTAAATATTGATTGCATGCGAAAAAGTTTGTATGAGAAGGATAAAAATAGGAGTACATGTTGACGGGTTCATTCTCCAAATCAAATGACAAATCATATCTTAAATTCCGCCTTAGATGCCCTTGTCGTTCAGTTTTGTCAGAGTTGAACATTCTACGTGCCCATGAATAGAAATGGGCATCAAACAAAACAATAAACAAAATAATAATTCACTAAACTACAGACTAGGTGTTGGTGTTGCTCCTTTGGGCCACCAGATCACTCCCAAATTCCGGCATGCTCAATGTTTTTGTCCATAAAACATTAGACAATAGGGTTATGAATGATCCATACATCTCGTGGTGAATATTGATATTATTCCCAACACAAACACCGACTCCATCGAGGATAGAAATTTCAATCTAATTCAATTCATTTTTCAACCTATTTATTTGTGAACGGTGGAGCTGTGGTTATGGATATTGAGAGTTGTTTCACATCGAAAAAAAAGTTTTGCTTTGGCAGTAATATTGATAATCTTTCTTCTGTTATGAATTGAGTTTGTGTTCGATGTTCACATAGTAGTAGTGAACATAAATTACAAATTGAACTTGCGTTCGATGCTCATATTCTAATAGTGAACATAAATTTCATACAAAAATTTACTCTGAGTTGTTTGTAACTATACAATTATGTCTTTTAATTCTTCCTTCCGAATTGTTTTTAACTATACAATTATGTCTTTTAGTTCTTCCTTTTTTAATTTTGTGAGGATGAAAATGCCTTGTAGAAAATATATTCTATGTCGTCTGTGGTTAATTAACAAGTGGTCACATATGGGACAAATGGTCCAACTCCAACATGCAGACGGACGTGTTCCTTTCACTATTCACCAACGTCAAGAGAAATGGCGCCAAAAGAAGCCATTTCATGCATGCCACAACATTCCAATGCACGCAACAACACTCGCACCTCATCCGCTATAGCCAATACCTTGCCTTACCTTACCTACAACGCTATCTCTAAATCCCAAGCCCTTCTTACATATAACAGCGCTAGATGGCTGGCTACAATTCCGATTAATTCTTATGTATTTGAAAATTAAAAAATGGTACTTAGACTTACTTAAGCATCCAACTAGATCCGTTTAGCAACCCCCCCTAGGCACCCACTTAGGTCGTCACTCTCACTTAGATATAAAATACATAACTTTTATTTTGCATTTTTTTATAAATAAATTGTAAGATAGTTGTTAAATACTTCGATGAACACTCATTGTATTCTAATTCCCCATGTTTTCAATATATTCTAATACTTTCTAATCTATATTTCATTATATTTTTCAATTTATGTATCCCAACATAATTATTTATTTGACATATAATAAGTTTATTTAAATCCGTCTAAGCCACCTAGTCACCTAGGCGCTAGGCTCCAGTCTGCCACCCAATTTGCGCCTAACGTCTTTTACAACTCAAGTGACGAGATGGTTTTTCATGAACAACTCACATTCAGCAACTCAGCATACTAGAAGAATTTTTTTTCTGAATTATTTGTGTCTTCCTCTATAGCTAGTAGGCACATTGATCAAACACACACAGACAGACACCTACGAAATCTCACTGAAGACCTCCTTCCCATTGACTCCTTTTTTCCATTGAAGAAAAAAGCTGAGGAGAGTACGTACGTTTAGTTATGAAGAGGCCGCAGCTCAGTATTTTTTCCATTACATTACCAACTACATCCTTAGTTTTTTATTTTAGCATCGCTTCCTCTATCATCTTTCTCTCTTTCGTTCTCATTTGGGTCAACATATCCTCTCCTTCCAACATTCCATTGCCCGCCCAACAAACCACCAATTGTCTCGAGTATTTCAACACATCCTCCATCGTTTTCGGTTTCACACCATCACCCTTAGCCGCCACAGTTCCACCTCTTCCAGCTGCTGATCATCCAACTAATTTAACTACCGGAGATGATTTTATCGATAAAAATAATGTTTCCGTTACAGAAAATAGTCCTTCGAAAGATTTATCAGTCTTGAAGTTGACGGACACCCCTTCCAGTACACCTGAAAATGCTTCTTCTAGCTATTTTGAGAACGAAGCCCAAGCAGTGGCAGTACTGCAACATGAGTTACATGATGACGAAGAAGAAGAAGAAGAAGAAGAAGAAGACAGCGGCAGCCGTGAGTTAGATATTATTTTTGATAGTAACTTCACAGCAGTGCCGGCACAACAAATTCCACCAGCTGCAATCTTAATTGACAAGATTGAGACAAATACTCATGACGACCAAAATGTTCCATCCGTGAACACGACTGTAGAGCAAAATGCTCCATTGAACCGCACTCATGAAGAGCAAACTGTGCCGTTGGCAAACACAACCGAGGAGCAAAATGCACCGTTGATGAACAAGACTGAAGAGCAAAATGCTCCAATTTTGATGAACAAGACGGAACAGCAAAATGCAGCTGCATTGAGTGAAAAAACGGTTCAAGCTAAGAGTAGAAAGAAGAAGAAGGCCAGAGCAACTTCATTTGATCAGATGACTCAAATTTCAAGTAGCGGACCGCTGTTGGTCGAAGAAGACAAGAAAATAGCTAAATTAGGAGGATGTGATTTTAGTACAAGAGGGAGGTGGGTCGAAGACGAGAGCTATCCGTTGTACACAAGTCGTTCATGTCCGTTCATAGAAGAAGGTTTTAGTTGTAATGGGAGATTAGACAAAAACTTCACTAAGTGGAGATGGCAACCACAAGATTGTGACATTCCAAGGTAACTTTCTAATTAGTTCTTCATCACTATTCAATTTGATTAAGCTAGTTAGCTAATTGGGATTTTAATTATGTATTTCAATTTGATTAAGCTAGCTAGCTAATTGGGATTTTAATTAATTATGTATGGATGTATAGGTTCGACGCAAGAAAAATGCTTGAATTTATCAGAGGGAAGAGGCTAGTGTTTGTGGGCGATTCAATCAATAAGAATCAATGGCAATCTATGGTGTGCATGCTTGTCGGAGATAAAAGAAATCCAAATAAGCCCAGATTCATCAGAAAGAGAGGAGGCTATAGTGTCGTCTTTGTGGTAATTCTTCACAGGGAATTGATTCCCGCAAACCTATTTTCCCCCTATGCACTCCCATGTTTATTTCTGACACTTGGATTGAATAAATTAGAGGATAATCAAGGGACAAATTAAACAAATGTGTGAAGAACGGGAAAATGAATGTGCGGAAAATATTTCACTTTCCCTTCTTTGTATATTCTTCTCTTCTCTATGCTATATTGCTATATTTACATTGCCGTTTCATTTAAGGTTAATAAATATTTAGAATGTTGTATGTATTTAAATTTCTGATGTACGTACTTTCTTTTTTTTCACAGGATTACCAGTGTAAAGTTGAATTCTATCCGTCCGTTTTCTTGGTTGAAAAAGTCATGACAAGAGTAGACCAGAAGCAGGAGCAAACGTCCTTGCGAATTGATTCCATTGATCACGGTTCACATCGATGGAGAGAAGCTGATATTTTGGTATTCAACACCGAACATTGGTGGGTCGAATTCAAAACTAATGCCGGGTAAGCTCCATTAATAAATGAATGAATTTTAGTTGTGCCCACCCCTTAGAACAACTGAGCTATGTTAACTCGATCGTTTTAATTGTGTCTGATAATTAAATTAAATTTCTTAAATTGGGATTATCCTGACATTTGGAGCTTAAGTACTTATGACTGCATGCATTGCATTTGCAGGGTTAATTTCTTCCAGGAAGGTGAAAAAATTCATCCATATCTTGATGTTCTCACAGCTCTCAGAAAGGGTTTGATGACGTGGGCATCATGGGTTGATAATTACATCAATCCAAGCAAAACTCAAGTTTTCTTTCGAACTTCATCGCCAACGCACTTCAGGTTATCTAATTATTTAATGTTGATCGAAGTAGTACGTGTATTGGTGTTCTTACATGACAATTTATTGAGTGGTTAATTTGTAAAATTGTTGATTGATCACAGCGGAGGAAAATGGAATTTACGGCAGAGTTGTGTAGGAGTTAGTGAGCCCCTCCTCCAACCTTCAGGAATTGTAAACGAGAAAGATGTAATTGTAGAGGAGGTCCTAAAGCAGATGAAGACTCGAGTCACTTTGTTGAACACAACGAGCTTGTCAGAGTATCGAATGGATGCTCATCCATCCGACATCAGAGATTGCAGCCATTGGTGCCTTCCTGGCATTCCTGATGTATGGAATGAATTGTTATATCTTCATTTGAGGGTATCCCAAGCAGTGGGCGCACAAAATGATTTACATGTCAAAAATGAAGACGGAGGCGCCAGCGAGTCTGATATTATTATTGATAGTAACTTCACAGCAGTGCCGGCAGAACAAATTCCATCAGCTGCAATCTTAATTGACAAGATTGAGACAAATACTCATGAAGAACAAAATGTTCCATCCGTGAACACGACTGTAGAGCAAAATGCTCCATTGAACCGCACTCATGAAGAGCAAACTGCGCCGTTGGCAAACACAACCGAGAAGCAAAATGCACCGTTGATGAACAAGACTGAAGAGCAAAATGCTCCAATTTTGATGAACAAGACGGAACAGCAAGATGCTCCAATTTTGATGAACAAGACGGAACAGCAAAATGCAGCTGCATTGAGTGAAAAAACGGTTCAAGCTAAAAGTAGAAAGAAGAAGAAGGCCAGAGCAACTTCATTTGATCAGATGACTCAAATTTCAAGTAGCGGACCGCTGTTGGTCGAAGAAAACAAGAAAATAGCTAAATTAGGAGGATGTGATTTTAGTACAAGAGGGAGGTGGGTCGAAGACGAGAGCTATCCGTTGTACACAAGTCGTTCATGTCTGTTCATAGAAGAAGGTTTTAGTTGTAATGGGAGATTAGACAAAAACTTCACTAAGTGGAGATGGCAACCACAAGATTGTGACATTCCAAGGTAACCTTCTAATTAGTTCTTCATCACTATTTCAATTTGATTAAGCTAGCTAGCTAATTGGGATTTTAATTATGTATGCATGTATAGGTTCGACGCAAGAAAAATGCTAGAATTTATCAGAGGGAAGAGGCTAGTGTTTGTGGGCGATTCAATCAATAAGAATCAATGGCAATCTATGGTGTGCATGCTTGTCGGAGATAAAAGAAATCCAAATAAGCCCAGATTCATCAGAAAGAAAGGAAGCTATAGTGTCGTCTTTGTGGTAATTCTTCACAGGAAATTGATTCCCGCAAACCTATTTTCTCCCCATGCACTCCCATGTTTATTTCTGACACTTGGATTGAATAAATTAGAGGATAATCAAGGGACAAAATAAACAAGTGTGTGAAGAACGGGAAAATGAATGTGCGGAAAATATTTCACTTTCCCTTCTTTGTATATTCTTCTCTTCTCTATGCTATATTGCTATATTTACATTGCCGTTTCATTTAAGGTTAATAAATATTTAGAATGTTGTATGTATTTAAATTTCTGATGTACGTACTTTCTTTTTTTCACAGGATTACCAGTGTAAAGTTGAATTCTATCCGTCCGTTTTCTTGGTTGAACAAGTCATGACAAGAGTAGACCAGAAGCAGGAGCAAACGTCCTTGCGAATTGATTCCATTGATCACGGTTCACATCGATGGAGAGAAGCTGATATTTTGGTATTCAACACCGAACATTGGTGGGTCGAATTCAAAACTAATGCCGGGTAAGCTCCACTAATATATGAATGACTTTTAGTTGTGCCCACCCCTTAGAACAACTGAGCTATGTTAACTCGATCGTTTTAATTGTGTCTGATAATTAAATTAAATTTCTTAAATTGGGATTATCCTGACATTTGGAGCTTGAGTACTTATGACTGCATGCATTGCATTTGCAGGGTTAATTTCTTCCAGGAAGGTGAAAAAATTCATCCATATCTTGATGTTCTCACAGCTCTCAGAAAGGGTTTGATGACGTGGGCATCATGGGTTGACAATTACATCAATCCAAGCAAAACTCAAGTTTTCTTTCGAACTTCATCGCCAACGCACTTCAGGTTATCTAATTATTTAATGTTGATCGAAGTAGTACGTGTATTGGTGTTCTTACATGACAATTTATTAATGAGTGGTTAATTTGTAAAATTGTTGATTGATCACAGCGGAGGAAAATGGAATTTACGGCAGAGTTGTGTAGGAGTTAGTGAGCCCCTCCTCCAACCTTCAGGAATTGTAAACGAGAAAGATGTAATTGTAGAGGAGGTCCTAAAGCAGATGAAGACTCGAGTCACTTTGTTGAACACAACGAGCTTGTCAGAGTATCGAATGGATGCTCATCCATCCGACATCAGAGATTGCAGCCATTGGTGCCTTCCTGGCATTCCTGATGTATGGAATGAATTGTTATATCTTCATTTGAGGGTATCCCAAGCAGTGGGCGCACAAAATGATTTACATGTCAAAAATGAAGACGGAGGCGCCAGTGAGTCAGACATTTTTACTAACGTCACGGTAGTCCCGGCTCAAAGTGCACCAGCTGCAACCTTATTTGACAAGATTGAGAACCACAATGCTCCGTTGGTGAACACGACAAAAGAGCAAAATGAACCGACGTCATTAATGAACAAGACCGATCAAGAGCAAAGTGCGCCAATATCGGAAAACAGGACTGATCAAGAGCAAACTGCTGCATTGATGAACAAGATTGAGAGGGAGAGTGTAGTCCAAAATGCTCCAATATTGATGAATAAGGCTGATCAAGAGCAAAACCCTCCAACATTGATGAACAAGACTACTGACGAGAAAAACGCTGCATTGGTTGAAAAACCGATAAAAAAGAGGATGGCGGGAAAGAGGAAGAAGAAGAAGAGCATAGCAACATCATTTGATCAAAAGAGTAGTACTACTCAAATTTCAAGTAGCGGCGGGATGCAAGACATTGAAGAAAACAAGAAGAGAACAACAAAATTAGGAGGATGTGATTTTAGTACAAGAGGGAGGTGGGTCTATGATGAAAGCTATCCGTTGTACACACGTCGATCCTGTCCCTTCATATATGAAGGTTTTGATTGTCAAGGCAGTGGGAGATTAGATAAAAACTTCACCAAGTGGAGGTGGCAACCACAAGATTGTGAAATTCCAAGGTAAGTGCATAGGCCAAGCTAATTAATTATTTCCTTCTTCAAAACTTGGTATCGAATTTGTTTTCCATTAATGTACATAGTTATTGCATTTCGACAATGGTTGACGTAGTACTGGAAGGGCAGACTCAAAATACACAATTCACTGCATTATCACTATTCATGCTAGATTTCATCTTGCTAACGTGTTCCTACATCAATGATTAATCTCAACTTACTATGTTTAATTTTGGTGTGCGATGTATCTATATATAGGTTCAATGCAACAAAAATGCTGGAACTGATGAGAGGTAAACGGCTACTTTATGTGGGGGATTCAATCAACAGAAATCAATTTGAATCCATGGTGTGCATGCTAATGGGAGATATAAGAGATCCCAATAGGCCCAGAATCTCCCATGCCAAGGGGACTTACAGTTTTTACTTTGTGGTAATTCTTTCTCTCTACATTGTCGATCATTTCGTTTCAGGTTAGAGAAAATTGGAGCACTAGCTAGTCCCTGAATTTGGCCAAATTGGATCTTAGGTCTTTGGACTAGAAATCTAGTTCAGGCCAAATTCAGAGTCTCATGCCCAATTATCTTTTTCAAGTTGTTTTCCATATGTATTAAATTTCTGATGCTGCAAATTTCGCACAGGATTACAAGTTTACAGTCGAGTTTTCTCCATCCGTTTTCTTGGTTGAGAAAGGCACAAAAAGAGTAGGGCAGAAGCAGGTGCAAACGTCCTTGCGAATTGATGCCATTGATCAGGGTTCATCTAGATGGAGAGGAGCTGATATTTTGGTATTCGACACTGAACATTGGTGGACCGATTCCAAAACTAACTCTGGGTGAGTTCGATAATGAGTAGTAGTAGCTACGTATACCATGCTTGTTGATGTTCGATCAAAGAAAAATACATAATTTGGAGCTAACAAATGAATGCATGCAGGAAGAATTTTTACCAGGAAGGGGGAAAAATTCATCCATATCTTGATGTTCACACAGCTCTCAGAAAAGGTTTGATGACCTGGGCAGCATGGGTTGATAAAAGTATCAATCCACACAAAACCCAAGTTTTCTTTCGAACTTCATCACCAACGCATTTCAGGTAATTAGTTTTGCCTCCTGGAATATTATGTGTACGTTCTTATGGTTAATACGAGTTCATGAAGCAGTCAATACAAGTACATTATCTATCCTGCTCCATGATTTATATTTGTGTGGCGACGTCAATCAACTTGTGCACGTTATGATGATTTTCTGAGTACATAGTTCTCTAATTTGTAATTCTTCATTGAACAGCGGAGGTGAGTGGAAATTGAGCCGGAGTTGTATAGGAGCTACTGAACCCCTCCCCAAACCTTCAGGAATGGCAAACAAGAAAGATGTAGTCCTAGAGGAGGTCGTAAAGCAGATGAAAACTCATGTGACATTGTTGAACATAACAAGCCTGTCAGAATATAGAATAGATGCTCATCCAACAGCCATCAAAGACTGCAGCCATTGGTGTCTTCCTGGCCTGCCTGATGCCTGGAATGAATTGTTGTTTCTGCATTTGCTCAGTGACTCATGACCAAAATACACCGAGTATATTTGGTCACTCTGTTATATGATAACAAAAAATAAATCACATTTTGGCCACCTAGAAATGCGAGTGAAAATTTCTTGATTGGACGTGTTTTTATGAGAAAAGTAAAAAGAGCACACTTTAAAAACTAAAAATTAAAACGATTATCAAACGAACTGATCCAAGTTAAAGCCTGAAAGCTTGACAATGGAAGCAAACGTCTCCAAGTTTGAGAAGAACAATCAGTAGTAACCAATTTCGCAAACATCCGTCAAGAAATTTGCGTTATGAAAGCACTTGATGAAATTGAATGCTTTGGAAAGAAGTAAAGAACTAGTGTAAAAAAAAAAAGAAGGAATCGACAAGAAGCTTTGATTCTCCTTAGACTCTGATTTGAGTACGTATAACCCTCGTTAAGAGCAAGATCAATGTGCCCGTTCCTTAGAGCTTCTGATTAATTAGCAATGAAAACATTATCGAAAGAAATCAAAACGAAAAACAAAAGGGTAGCTAAGTTACAAATTAGGGATTGTGCTGCATTCGCCCACTAGACCATGAGAAGTTCGGACCACAACCTTAATGTTCTACTGCATATATCTCTTTTGTTTTTTGGTATATTTTTATCGTTTTTATTTTCATTTTCGTGGAATACGAACGCCTCAACATTCTCCAAGTTGTTTGTAGAAAATTCATAAGTGGTTAGAATTCAACCAGCAATTGCATGGAACAAATGGTCCAAAATACATGAATATCCAAAGACTGCTTTCTGCAAGTATGCTGCACATGTCTTGCTACTTCTTCTGATGAATTGTGTTCTTCTTCTTCAAGAAGAGTATTTATTTTTCATTTTTTAACGACAGCAGCGAGGGAAATGAGGGATTAGGCGAGCAGAACTACAAAACCGAGAAGTAGTAGTCATGAAGAGGCAGCTGAGTTTCTCATCTAAATCATCAGCCACTAGAATAACTAGACCATTGGTGTTCTATTTTAGCATCCCTTTTTCTATCTTCTTTCTCTCTTTCGTTATCATTTGGGTTAACAAAACCGCTCCTCCCAATTCATTGCCGGTTCAAGAAACCAGCAGATGTCTCCGGTTCAACACTACATCCTCACCCGTTTCAAGTTTCATAGCTGCTGTTGTTCCACCTGTTCCATCATCTGCTGAGACTAATTTGACTACTGGTAATTCAAATAGCAATATTTCTGCAGTTACGTCAGATGATAGTCTTCCTCCGAAAGATTCAACCTTGAAGTTGGCGGCTAACCCTTTGAGTGCACCTGAAAATGCTTCTAGCTTTTCTGGGACTAATTCACTTGTTAGTGGGATGCAGAGGAAGGAGAATGAGACAGATGATGATGAACAAGACAGAGGCGGTGGTGAATTAGATGGTAACGAGCTCAAAACAGAGGAACAAAGTGCAGCAGCTGTGGCTGTGGAGCAAAATATTACACCATGGAACAAGTCCGAAGAGCAAAATGCCGCATTGACGAATGGGGTTAAAGGGAAAAATGTTCCATTGACGAATGAGACTGAAGAGAAAAATGCTGCATTGAGTGAAAAACAGATTGACTGAAGTTGAAGAGACAATGAGAAATTGAAGACAAGAACGAAAAGCTTGAAGAGAAAAAAGCGATGGTGTGAAGCGAAAGAAGAAAACGAAGAAGAAGACCAGAAACAACTGATGCAACTTGATGCAAAATTGCTCAAATTTCCAAGTAAGCGGCGAGAGAAACTGCTGAAGTGCGAAAGAAGACAAGAGCGATGAACAAAATTAAGAGGGGATCATGTGATTATAGTACAAAAGGGAGGTGGATCAAAGATAACAACAGCTATCCTTTGTACACATATCGTTCTTGTCCTTTCATTGAAAAAGGTTTTAATTGTGAAGGTAATGGGAGATTAGACACAGATTTCATGAAGTGGAGGTGGCAACCAGAAGATTGTGACATTCCAAGGTTCAATGCAAGGAAAATGCTGGAACTGATGAGAGGGAAAAGGCTCGTTTTCGTGGGGGATTCACTCAATAGGAATCAATGCCAATCCATGGTTTGCATGCTAATGGGAGCTATAAGAGGGCTCAGAGTCACCAAAGGAAAGAGGGGATATACTTTCACCTTTGTGGTATTATTCTTCTTCAACATTATTTACTCCTTAACATGCGTATTTGTATTTCATTACCTGAAGTAGTTCAATTTGTCACAGGATTACAAGTGTACAGTCGAATTTTATACGTCCCCTTTCTTGGTTGACAAAGGCATGGCAAGAGTAGGACAGAAGCAGGTGCAGACCTTGCAAATCGATGCAATTGATCGTGCTTCATCAAGGTGGAGAGGAGCTGATATTTTGGTATTTGACACCGGACATTGGTGGAATGATCACAAAACTAATGCTGGGTCAGTATAGTCACAGAATATGTGCAAGTGATACATGCTATAGTAAATTAACTTGAATTTCTTCAACCGCAATATCCTGACCTTAATTTGGAGCTTGCAGGATGAATTTCTACCAGGAAGGTGGCAAAATCCATCCACACCTTGATGTTTCCACAGCTCTCAGAAAAGCTATGATGACCTGGGGGTCATGGGTTGATAAAAACATCAATCCGCGTAAAACCCGAGTTTTCTTTCGAAGTTTATCACCCACGCATTTCAGGTTAACTTGCATTTCCTCCTGTCTTCGATCATGCTGCCTGCACATATAAACTTCATATAACTAGTTGCATCGCAGAGTGTTTAATTTGTAATTCTTCATTGAACAGGGGAGGTCAATGGAATACAGGCGGGAGCTGTACAGAAGCTACTGAACCCCTCCTCGAACTTTTGCGAATTGCAGACGAGAGAAACATAATTGCAGAGCAGGTCGTTAAGCAGATGAAGACTCGTGTGACTTTGTTGAACATAACTGGCTTGTCAGAATATAGAGTAGATGGTCATCCATCTGTCTATGGTAATTCTTATGCTTCAGGGGTTCAGGATTGCAGCCATTGGTGTCTTCCTGGCGTTCCTGATATGTGGAATGAATTGCTGTATTTTCATTTGCTGCAGTAACTCACACTGCAAACCACTGTCTGTTTATCAAATTCATTCAATAAGTACAGAATCTTATCAAAAGATAAAATAAATCAATTCAACCCTTTTTTCATCTCGAGAAATGTTTTACATAGAATTTCCGGTTATTACCATCACAACATGCCTCTCTGCGATAGCATTCCCGAACACAAACTACAATACCGAACTGCTAGAAGAATTCAAACTTATTGTCTATAAATCCAAAAAAAAAAAAAACCTTATTTCCAATACAGCCTTATTGACCTAGAAGGACAATTCTTGTCCCGGATGTTGTCATGGATAAAACCCTCCAGAGTCGAGCTATGCGCCACACTTGATACTTAGGTACATCTCCATCCACGCTAACTATCCATTCAAAGGGCTTGGTGCTTTTTCGCTCTGCCTCGGGAGACAGATGAATCGTCCCTCTTAGAACCCTCCGGTTTTTGAGCCCATACAGGTGCTGCCTCTGATAGATAACAATAATCGTAGAAGAGCTCCTCACCGGCATCAATATGCTCCTTGGCAAATATGCCAACTCGATGATCACCCGCAACCAGCATTACCTATACACAAACATGTAATAGCACACACCATTATAACTAATCAAACATGTATTAGCACACACCCGCGACCAGCATTACCTATATGCAAACATGTATTAGTACACACCATTGTAACCATCAAACAAGAGAATTACAGACTACTTAATCACCTTTGCATGGCAGTTAGGATTTGATGAGTGGTTTGCAAATTTAAGCTTGTCTCCCTTTCGGTAAGCATCTAGGACATACTGCAGTAAACAGGCGTAATGCCAGTGTAAAGCTATATCCTATAGGTATCACATATTTGCGAAGAAAATTAAAATACAAATGTAAAAGCGGCCAATCATTAATTTTCCCTTGCCTGTTCATTCAAGTCGAAAAGGAATGATGAGTTTACACGATCATAAATCTTCCCCCGCTTGTCTGCTTCCTGATGCGAGATGATTTCACCAGTATATTCTCCAAGATAATCATTCTTGTTTACGGGGTTCTGAAATCACATGGTTTAATATGGTGAGAAAAGAAAAATCAACTTCAAGTTATAGGATGCCACATACAAAAACATCGAAATCTTCCAACCTTTAAGAAGGCTCCCCAACCAGCAACATCAGACTTGCCCAGGAGAATCTGAAGAAAAAAAAAGACAGTGTATGCAATAAAAAATCATAAAGTAAATTTGCAGACCACAGAAGTAATTTATTAACTAAATACTAGGAATGGCTCACCCTCTGTTGTTGTCTTAGAAGAAGCCTCATGTTACCACACTGACTATCTCCCTGTTTCGGTGGCTCGCCTAGTGAACCATCCCCACAACTGCAAAAAACATTTATATTTGAATTAAAACAATCACCACTAAAGAAATAACAAACTCTCTATGATGAACACTCTGTGCATGATTCAAACAGCTCGATCAGCTGGTCCATCATGGAGCTCATTACCTAATCCAACAATGACGACAGACATCCGGGTCACATTCGCGCCCAGCAGCAAAGCATGGGCACTGCCGACTTCTACACTGACTCTTTGCACAGTGACATCCCCTGAACCTATTTTTGCAACTCTTTGAGCACCTAAAATTGAAAGAGTTAATCACTGGTTCTGTGCATTTCATTCAATTTACTTTTAGGATAAGTCAGACATACCCACAGTATTTTTCACAGCAGGTTCCATTACTCATACAAGAACATTCCTTTCCACACATAGACTGGCATTCACATGGCGTATACAGTTTAAGTGAATCGTTTTTGCCATCAGCAATCCTTTTCCACATTGTTGGGTGCCCAGCAGACTTCCAAGAATACTTCAGCCTCCGTGCTTTTCCCCTTCTACGAAGTAACCGTGGCTTTGACGACATCTCTTGTTCCTAGTACGAGTACAATAAAATTAACCTTTTTTAACCAGAGAGAGAGAGAGAGAGAGAGAGATAAGTAAAAAAAGAAATAGGGAGGATAAGTTCTATGATGCTACTGTCTGATCCAAATCAGCTTTCACATTGTCTTCCATAAATGACGATGGTTCAACCACAGATCTGTTAGGCGTTGAAGATCCAGAATTATGCATGTAACTAGACACTTCCTTACACGTCCTCAATCCGGAGAGTAAGTTCCTCGCTATGAGGCAACTGCAGAACGCAAGTTACCAATTACGTACAAAGATACGGAATGGTGTAATGACGATCCGTGTAAGGCATTTCGAATTCAAAAATAAGTACCTGTTTCTCCCAAATATCTGTAGTCCCTTCATGTATAAATCTTTCTCCACTGGTTTCCACTCAGAGTTGCTACACATCCCCTCAACTTGTCCACGTGTAGAATTGGATGTTTGCCTCAGTTCAGGCACTTCGGCTACATCTCTTGGTTCACCTCTGGAAATGTGAACCCGAACAGGGATAGGTTCACTAGTTGCAGTTACCAAATCCAAAGCATCTAATCTCTTTTGTTTCTTAGAAGAACCGTGGAAATCATCAGGTACTATAGTTAGGTCCTTTGCCACTTTATCTGTATGCTTCATGACCTTGCGCTTCCCTGTATTTTCATTGTGCATCTTCAGGATATGAGAACACTGAATGGTTTCTGAAGTTGTAGTCTCAGCATCTCCAGGAATGCTTCTTTCGTTGTGTGTGAGGTCTGTATAGCCAAGAGAACTTGGTCGCTCGGCACTAATGGATGATCCTGGAGCACTTTCTCTCTCAGATGTTACTATACTCAACTGCAAGAAGAACCTGGAGGTCAGAATTAAAAATCCTATGACTGGTGGCAAAAGCCAAAGTAAATATGGAGTGTACAAAACATAATTGTCATGATGAATATGCCCTATAGTCCATCAGGAGAAAAGAAAAAAGAAAGGTTCAGTGAGCCTCAGATTTGAACAAAAGAATGAAAACAAAAGCGTAGTCAGGCTCCGAACTAGTGAGATTTCGGCATTTAACTTAATTCACCACCAAAACCCTAGAGAGGGTGAAAAAGTTTAACTTGTACAAGTTCATGATAAGAAAATCTATCAGATTAACAGTGTCCTACTATTAAATTCAAGGAGAACAAAAGAAACTAATTTAACTAAATAGACTCAAGTAGTACCAGAACTTTAATAAAGAAAGGAAATTCCATACCCTGAGGTAACATTGATCACTGCAAGGTTCCTGGTTCTCGTCATGACCGGACCACTGCGACTTTTCACTCTGAAAAAGAAAGAATACCACAATAGACATAAATTAATGGAGTTCAAGCAAGCTGGCACATATAAGCCACACTGCTGCTTACAGGATATATTAAAGGTTGAGAACATCCATGCAAACGACAATCAAACACCTGTTAGATAGAATCAGTTGAGAGTTATATCAGAAAATGCAAAACCAGTAATTTCATTTAACAATTCAAGCAAGATGACACCCGCATACCAAGCAACGGCGACAGAAAAGGTTATCGAAAGAATCTAATGCAGCACTAAGACTCTTATCAAGAGAAATGCACCCATCGGGTTCACGTTTCTCGCGGTTCCTTTCCTTGATTGTGTTATAACGGTCCTGCAAGTGTAGAATTCCACAAAATTTAGGCACCAAAATCCTCCCAAACAACAATGTGAACACACGTTAATGCCAGCTACCAGGATTTCCAAAATGGGGACTCCAATAAACTCCCTCACAACTTCCACTACTTCCTCGCCTAGGCCATGCTCCTGAAAGGCCATCCTACAAATTCAATACGAAAAATTTAAAACCTTCATTTATTCCTACAAAAAAATTGGACCACGCAAGTTCATAAGCAGCCATAGTCGATGTGATTCTCTAAAAGTCGATGTGATTCCCTAAAAATCTAACATCTCATTTGAACTTACACAGAATTCGATCTTCGCCCGCAGAAAATTCATGTTTTACTTTTTCGGGTTCTTCTGCCTCATCATCACTGCCACTGTAGACAAGAGCTTCACTGCCATCTTCATCGTAGTAAATACGCCTCCTCCCAACTACTGATTGGTCTTCAGCCATTCTTTGATTTCTGTGCTGTGAAAGAAAAATTTGAGATGGGAGAAACACAACAGCAACAATTTTCACATTAACAACATAAGAAAGCAGGGACAAAAACATATACAAAAATCTACAATTTGCATTATGTCACAAGTCCAAATTTTAAACCCCATAAAGCGTTTAAGCAAAGGGGCAATCAAACCTGTCCAAGAATATCCAAGTTGTATAAGGCGGTATCTTGTCAACAAGTGGGAGCTTGGTACTGGATGAGAATAAAACCTCTTGATTCTCAATCCAGTTTTTCTCACCATATCCCTGCGCAAATCCACTGATTTTGCAGAGAGGCTGTTCAATTCTTGAAGAAAACAATTTAAAGCTCCCATTTTGCTCTGATGACGAAGCATTCAAATTCGCTCTTGATGTCTCCGATATAGTTTTTGAAACATAACCTTCTACCTTCTCCCTGTTCTTCTTAACTTTTTCCTGAAATGTATAACAAATGTATGCCAAAACTTACTTTTACTGAAAGTGAAATCATTACGGTTATACATTTCCAGATAATCTAGCAAACAGCTTCTATGGGAACTCGGATTCTGATTCTCCTCAATTCAATTCCTCCTAAACTCAATTCTTAAACAATTCTGATTTCGGATTAATAAACAAGGCATTGAAATGTATGTGAAAAAACTTACTTTTACTAATATCACCCTCTCTGCTTGAATTTGCAACTTGAGCTGGTGCATCTTCTGCTCCAAACTTCCGATGCCATCACTCGGATCTTCTCCATGGAATTTCTGCCCATATAAATCACAGAGTACACACATATCGTGAATTCAATATCAAACACAATCAGATTCTATTTTCTGTTTGGCTGCAGAGAAAATGTACAACTACTGTACAAGAAGCTACGACTTCTAATCACACAAAGTTCTGAAATTTCATTGCTTTGCTATCAAAAATGCAATCTGGATATCCGAAGATAAATTCTCATCCCTGTTTGATCACAACAATTACAATTCTGATAAAAAAAAAAAAGCATCGAAATTTTGTTTTTAACAGGAAAAAAAAGAAAGCAGGAACCAAAATCGCGAGAAGAAACAGAGAATTCAGGGATCGATGAGGTGAGAGAGATAGAGAGAGTTTTGAGAGAGAGACTGACTGTGAGTTCAGTTGCAGAGTCGGAAGCTTGGGACAGCATCGTCCCTGTTCTGCTCATCTCTGCTGTGTACCTGTGTGTGCGACTCAACAAAGAAATGACTAAGAAAATGAAGGTAATAAACCATTTAGTGACTGACACGTGTAAGGATTGCTGATGTGGCATACACGCCCGAAAGATGACGTGCCCTATGTGTCCGAAAGATGATATGGCCTACATGCCGAAGCGGCGATCATTGTGTGTGTCGGTTATATATAACTTATGTCTTACGTGCGTAAAATTTGACACGAATGAAAGATTAGTATACGCGTTGGAAGATTGATGACGTGTTTACGCTTTGAAGCAGAAAATATTGTATGTGTCGATTTTAATATTTTCTCTTCTTCTATTAGTTCTTTTAACAAACAATATGATAATCTAAAACTCACACCCGACTATTTCAAAGACTTAATGATGTGAAGTTTAAAATTGATAGATAGCAAGCATAGATTTTGTACCCCATAATTAGGAGTTAGTTGTAAGATCTTACATCGTCCAGGTGAGTGATTTTTATATGTATATTCCCATCCCTACCTAGCATGAGGCCTTTTGGGAGCTCACTGGCTTCGGGTTCCATCGGAACTCCGAACTTAAGCTAGTAGCGCGTGAGAGCAATCCCATGATGGGTGACTCATTCAGAAGTTGCTCGTGAGTTCCTAGAAACAAAACCGTAAGGGCGTGGTTGGGGCCCAAAGCGGACAATATCATGCTACGGTGGTGGAGCGGGCCGGGATTTGAAAAATGGTATCAGAGCCTAACCCTGGCTGTGGTGTGCCGACGAGGTCGTCGGGCCCCTTAAGAGGGGTGGATTGTAAGATCCCACATCGCCCAGGGGAGTGATCCTTATATGTATATTCCCATCCCTACCTAGCATGAGGCATTTTGATAGCTCACTAGCTTCGGGTTCCATCGGAACTCCGAAGTTAAGCTAGTAGCACGCAAGATCAATCCCATGATGGGTGACCCACTGGGAAGTTGCTTGTGAGTTCTCAGAAACAAAACCGTGAGAGCGTAGTCGAGGCCCAAAGAGGACAATATAGTGTTACGGTGGTGAAGCGGGCCGAGGAAGTGGTCCGTCCCGGGCTGAGATGTGAAATTAGTGCTTGGCCTACGTACGTAGGACTATACCCTCTTATTTTATTGGTTGGAATTAATGTCTTTTGTGGGTCACATGCTTCTGAACCTCTTCAATAGGTTGATCAATTGTTGCCTGCAGGTATTGAGGCAGTGGATGATGGTAATGATGAGCCCATTCTTCAGTCTCCCCCTTGGAATAACGCCAATTGCTTCTGGTAATGTCATACCAGAGACTGACACCGCTGATACGCACATAAACAAAGCTCTTGAACCGGTGGTTGATGAGGCCTTTGGGACCATTGCCCAAGCTGTGAATAACTCCGATTTTGAAGAACATGGTATTCAATCCCCTGGGATTTCGCATATTAGCAATTCTATGACCGGATCGCTGTCTACAGATGGATCACATCCTCATAATTGTCTTTCTTATGGTCAGCATTTGGGCAACACCAATGTCCCAAATAATCTTGGCCCACATGATCTCTGTGACGACTCTAGCACTCATCCTGGCTTTGAACAGGTCGAGACGTTAGCTCAGAATAGTCAGCAGTTGGGCAACACCGATGTCCCAAATAATTTTGGCATGCACGATCCTCATGACAACCATAGCATTCCACCTGGTTTTGAACATGTTGCGACATTAGCTAAGGATGTCATCGATATTGTTAAACCCCACCCCCATATTTTCATCCTATTTCTATTTTTCCCCTAGAACATATTTGTTATCTATCAATTTAGTCCCTTATTCTCTTTCAATCTTAACCCTTGATCTGGAAATGCTATTGTTCTTAAACTGCCATGTGGCAGCTCTCAGATCCCTCTTTCCTTTCATCTCTGCCCGAAACTCATCTCAGAATCTCAGTGCTCTCTTTCTTTCGGTTTCTTCTCTCTCTTTCTCACACTCTCTAAGCTCCGAGAGTTTCTCTCTAGCTTTCACCTCACTTCCCTCACAAATCAAACCCAAAAACCATATATTTGGGATCCTTGAGACTTAACGAACTCAACGATACCCTTGCATGCGCCATCAGAGCACCGTGGGTTTTTCTGCCATTGAAGCCGAGAGCTTCAAAGCTCTAACACGCGAACCCAGGTGAGGGTTGTGTTCCTTCTTCAAATTTCTGGGTTATGCATGTTGGTTTTATGACAAAACTCAAGGGTTTTGATCTCAGTTTTTCTCTGTGCTAACAATCTAGCTCCGACGACGAACTCCGACGAGTTCGAGGTCCATCTCTTCCCAAAACCTGCTGCAGTGCGTCCAGGTGAGTTCTTAGGTATATTTGTGAAGTTTTAGAACCCCTTATTCAAGCCCTAACTCTTACCATCCTTTGTGCATGCATGTCCGGTTCCGACGACGAACTCCAGCGAGTTCGTGAGTGTGTGTTTGTGCAGTGTGTACGTTGTGCAAGTGTGTGTGCGTGAACCGTGTGTGTGTGTGTGTAAGTATGCTTACTGTGCGTGTGTGTGATTATATATATATATGCATGATGCTGTGCGTGTGTGTGCTTATATATATATATGCATGCTGTGCATGCGTGTGTGTTTATATGTATGTATCTATATATATATATATATATGCATGTTGCCTCTGTGTGTGTATTTATATATATATATATATATGTGTGCATGCTGTCTGTGTGTGTGTTTGGCATGTTGGTATCCGTGCAAGTGTATGTGTGTGAATGTGTGGTGTATGGTGCACGTGTGTGTTGTGTATGTTTGTGTACTGTATGAAGTGTACAGTGTGTGCGTTGTGCGGTGCAGCTCTGTGAGTATGTGTTGTGTATGCATGTGTGTGAATGTGTGGTGTGTGTGCCGTGTGTGTTAAGTATGGGTTTAGGCTTAAGCCTAAAACTCCCTCTTGTTCCTAACCTACCCAAACCCAAAACCCATTTCCATTTCCTAAAATTCTATCTTTTGGGTAGTTTATTAAACTGTACATTTTCGTGCTTAGGTGAAGTTGCTAGTGGAGACTTCCTTAATCTTTTTCCATACAATTCTGCTGCTTCGGAGTATCTGTGAGTGGACCACCTTCGAAAATTTGCATGTTTTATTGATAGAATTGCATAATTTAATAGCATGCCTTGCAGAATTATTGATTTGAGGAATACTTTACAGGAAGCATGATGATTTGATTATACGTGATTATATATATATGTTTTGAACTATTTTCATTATATCGTATTTTCTATAGAACCCTCATTCTGGTAGACTATCTGATCGATGACGATAGGATGCTAAGAATGTGTTTCAAATGACTTTCGAACACCTCTTCGTAGTATAGAGGATCGATGACTTTATGCTACGAAGTTGTATTTTAGAGATGAATTATGTTTTGTGCGTACCTAGTGAACACTATGCCGCCTGGGGCGAGGATCTGGTGTTGGCATTGAGGCCGGGAGAAATAATCCCTAGCGAAAGGCTGAGGGACACGGAGACAGGCATTGGGCCGGGAGGGAGATATCTCTGGCTACGGGCACAGAGACTGAGGTGCAGGCATTGGGCCGGGAGTATTATTATTCAGTGCACTCACTAGCAGCACAACTTGTGTTATGCTTCCTGATACGATTTCTGATATGATTTTATGAGATTGATTTGCAGAGAGATATATGAATTGTTTTTATGGTATGCTAGAGGATTTGAGAAACCTATCACTTATTATTTAGTAGTTTTCATTATTAAACTATGGGGGTTAGTATGTTCATAACTGTTTTCGTACTATGTATGTATATAAACTTGGTCCACTCACCCTTGTTTTGCGCCCCCATTCAGGTCTTAGGAACGAGGACTACGAGGCATCATACGAGGCATTCCCCTACCAGTAGCAGTCTACCTTCCACTTGTGTAATAATTGTAATGATCTTTCCTTTTGTGATCTTGACTTCGAACGTGTTTTGCACACTCTAGATATTTCCCTAAACTTTGTTTGTAACTCCCTTTGGATTCAGATATTTAATCGTGCGTATTTCTCCTAATCATTTCTCTTGTACTTCAATAAATGGCTTTCGTCACCTCAGGTGTCGGCCAACACGTGCCTATCCTGATATTCGGGGGATATCGGGGTCGGGATGTGTCAGATATTGTCAATCACATAGAAGGCTGTGATATGGATGGTTTTACTCCTGTGTTATCTAACAGTCAACGGAAAAAACAAAAGCAGCTTGCCAATCTTAATCAACCCTTTGATAAACCATATCCGAGTAGGGTCCGAGGAATACCAGCTCGTTATAAATGAAGGTTCTCTTCTGGAATATCCGTGGCATTGGTAACGATGACTCTCGGATGGAGCTCTCTAACATCTGTCGGTTGCATCACCCGGATTTGGTTTGCATTGCAGAGCCCATGGTGACTTTTAATTCTATTTCAGCTGCTTATTGGGATTCTTTAAATCTATCTGCTCTTACTTTTAATTCTAGAGGAACTCTTGCTCCCAACCTTTGGTTACTAACATTTTTGGCTTGTGCAGACCCTTTAGTTATTTCTATCTCTGATCAACAGGTTACGGTTCGCTGTACTTTTGACCATATCCCAAGCCAGTTCACATTTGTTTATGCAAACACTTCACCTATCAAAAGAAGAGACTTGTGGGCTGATTTTATCTCTCTGCGCCCACAAACACAAGTTCCATAGATGGCTATTGGCGATTTCAACGCTATCCTGGGTGCCCACGAGCAGATGGGAGGAGGTAGACCGTCCCAAGCTTCATGCGCTGAGTTTAGTAATATGTCTGACACTTGTAACTTTACCCACTTGAACACATCTGGGGCATCCTTTACATGGTCTAATGGCTGGAGGTCTCGTGGTCGCACTGAAAGAAGGTTAGATCGCTCTTTGTGTGATATAAGCTGGTTTGATTCTTGGCCCACTCTAACTGCATAGCATTGCCAAAGGTAGTCTCAGATCACAACCCCCTTATCTTCTCTGGTTCTAGAGTTTTGAGCAGTGGTCATCGTCATTTCCGTTTTCAATCAATGTGGGTTCAACATCCATCTTTTCGAGAAACTGTAACTCATTGCTGGAGAAATACAGTTGTCTATGGTTGTCCTATGTTTATCATTCGGCAAAAATTGAAAGCTCTAAAAACCTGCTTGTGCCAATGGAATTTTTCGGTCTTTGGTGATGTCCATAATAGAGTGGCTAATGCTCGGCATAATCTTTCTATGATTCAACAAAGAATTTCAACTGAGGGTATAAATAATGATATTCGAGGAGGAGATTGTCGCCAAGACTACAGTAATGGAGTCTCTTCAAATGCAGGAGGCATTTTGGAAAGATAGAGCTCATGTTAAGTGGTTAACTAAAGGGGATATAAATTCTTCTTTCTTTCATGCCTATGCTCATATTAAATCATCCAGCTCTCATATCAGTTGTATTCTTGATGGAAACAATCTTCTTACTGACCCGCTGGCAATTGAGAACCATATTGTTAATTTCTATCAGACTTTGTTCTGCTCTTCTTTCACCCCTTCAGGTATTGATGAGGTTTGTGAGGTCATCCAGCCGATGGTCACAGACTCTGAAAATGATCTCTTATCTGCATTACCTACTGATGAGGAAATTAAGGAGGCAGTTTTCTCATTAAGTGCTTCCAGTGCGCCAGGGCCAGATGGTTTTCCAGGTTTTTTCTATCATCACTGTTGGGATATTGTCAGCTTTGATGTTATTCAATTTGTGAAGCAATTCTTTCAATCAAATTGGTTATACCCCAATGCCAATAGTAATTTCTTAGTTTTGATACCGAAGGTGGAATACGCTATTTCCATGACTCATTTTAAACCTATTGCTTTGGCAAACTTTCTCTTTAAGATTATTCCCAAAATTTTGGCAGTTCGTCTTTCTCATGTTGTTCAATGCATTATTTCTCCACATCAAGCTGCTTTTATACCTGGCCGACGTATCACAGATTGTATTGGCCTTGTTTCAGAATGTTTCAATGTGCTTGACAAAAAAACTCGTGGTGGCAATATGGGAGTCAAAGTTGATATAGCTAAGGCTTTTGATACTTTAGATTGGTCATTTCTATTGCGGGTGCTTACTAACTTTGGGTTCTCCACTTGTTTTATAGACTGGGTTTCTACTATCTTAAGATCTGCTAAATTGTCCATCCTAATTAATGGTTCCCCGCATGGTTTTTTCTCTTGTTCACGAGGAGTGCGCCAAGGGGATCCTCTCTCTCCGTTACTTTTATGTCTAGCTGAGGAGGCTTTATCAAGGGGCCTGAGTCGTCTTCAACTTGATGGGCTTACTAAGCCAACTTTTGCTCCAAGAGGTTGTATCTCTCCTTCTCACGTTCTCTATGCAGATGACTTATTCATTCTCTGTAGAAGTGATGGTGTCACCCTGCGTAATTTGCAAGGTTTCTTCGATAGATATAGTAGAGCCTCTGGTCAATTTATCAATAAGGCAAAAAGTACTTTCTACTTGGGCTCTACCTCAAGGCATCGCAAAGCTGTGGTTGAGAGTTACTTGGGTTTCAAAGAAGGCAAAGCACCTTTTGTCTACTTAGGAGTTCCAATCTTCTGTGGCAAGCCTAAAAGGAGTCATCTTCAAGCCTTGGCAGATAAAGCTAAAGCTAAGTTAACTGGTTGGAAGGGGAAACTTTTATCTATGACAGGAAGAGTTCAACTCACTCAATCAGTTTTTCAAAGTATGCTCTTGCATAGCTTTTCTGTTTATAAGTGGCCTTCTTCCTTGCTAAGGCCTCTTTCAAGATGTGCTCGCAATTTTATATGGTCTGGTGACGTAACCTCCAAGAAGTCTGTTACCATTTCTTGGCGTCAGATATGTGCTCCGAAGAATGAAGGTGGTTTGGGTTTGCGTGATCTTGGCTCTCTTAACACTACAACTCTCTTAAAGATTGGATGGCTTATTATTACTACTGATTCCCCTTGGAGTATTTATCTTCGGGAACGTTTCAAGCTACATGGTCGCCTATATTCTTGTAGTTATAAGCAATCTTCTATATGGCCTGGTATTAAATCCATTCTTCATATCTTGTTTCAGAATTGTCGTTGGGTGATTGGAAATGGTTCTACTACTTCCCTTTGGGTTGATAAATGGCTGGATAAGCCTATTGTGGACGTCGTTGGTGCAACAGAGATTGCTCATTCTTTATCTCGTACTAAGGTCTCAAATATTATTCGTATGGGAAAATGGGTTATTCCTTCTATTTTTTCTTCTACTTTCCCAGACCTAACTAAAGAGATTTTAGAAATGCCTTTTCCAATTGATGAGGATAAAGACGTTTTAATTTGGGAAGTTTCTACATCTGGTGTTTTTTCGTTTTCCGATGGCTATGAAATTGTTCGTCATCGGTTTCTTGTCAAGAGTTGGGCTTCCATTATCTGGCGTCCTTTCATCCCACCTCGTTACTCTATTTTAGTTTGGAAGATCCTATTCAACAAGCTCCCAACGGAGGATCAACTTCAGGGCCGAGGCATCCCGCTGGCTCCAGTATGCCAACTATGTCACAAGAATTCTGAATCTATTGACCATTTATTTTCTAGCTGTGAATTTGCACAATGTGCTTGGCGTTGGCTAGCTACCCAATTTGGCACTATTATTCCACCTACGGGCTCCCTCTCTGATCTATGGCTTGATTTTCTGTCAAAGCGGTTTTCTCCACATCTTCGCAATGTCTGGCTAGCTTCAGGGTTTTTCTTACTAATGACTATTTGGAAGATGCGTAATAAAGTGAAGTTTGAAGGCAAACCTCCCTCCTTCTCATGTCTATGCCGCTCCACCTCGGTCTGGATTAGGCAGGTTGGAGCTCTCACCCTTGGCCATGTACGAGGCATTTTGGATAGGCAACTTTTAGTTTCTCTTAGAATATCGCCTAACTCCTGTAAAGCTCCTTCTATTGTCCCTGTTCTTTGGCACCCCCCTCATTTTTCTTGGGTCAAAGTGAATACTGATGGCCTTGCTAAAGGTAATCTGGGTCCTGCGGCTTGTGGCGGGGTTTTTCGTGACTCTGCAGGTTATTTTCTTGGTAGTTTCTCCCTAAGCTTGGGCCATCGTACTTCTTTCTATGCGGAGCTCCATGCTGTCATCCTTGCTGTCGAATTGGCCCACGCGCGGGGCTGGCAAAATTTATGGCTTGAAAGTGACTCTTCTAGTGTAATATCATGTTTTGCTTCTGGATCTTTCTCTCCTCCTTGGTCGCTCCAGACACGCTGGAACAATTGTACTCTCCATTTGCAGAACATGGTTTTTCGTTGCTCTCATATTTTTCGAAAAGGGAATGTTGTTGCTGACAAATTAGCCAATTTAGGGCTTCTATCATCTTCACTTGTTTGGCATTCCACTCCCCCTATAGAGATCCTTCCTCCTCTGCACTCAGATTTCTTGGGCATGCCAACCTACAAGTTTGTCTCCTTTTCTTGATGTGTGTTCTCCTTTCTTTTCCTAACCTTTTTGGTTTCCCTTTTGTTTTGCAGCTTGTCTTGCAGGTTATTACCTTTTAGGTTTATAGAGGGGTTTGGGCTTATGTCCACCTAGTCTTTTCCTTGTATTTTCTTTTCCAAGAGGGGTACGGTCTATGTCCCCCCCCTCTTTTTCCGGTATTTCCTTTCTCAAAAGGGGTAAGGTGCATGTCCCCCCCCTTTTTGTATTTCTTTTCTCTTGTTCTATGAGGGGTTAGGTTTATGTCCCCCCTGTCTAGGTGTATCTTCTTTTTTCTTATCAATAAAATTCCCTCGTACCGCCGAGGTTCTCCAAAAAAAAAAAAAAAAAGCACTAATGAGAATTCAAAACGGATACAATTTGATGTTTATATTTTCTATGTTCGTCATTGTGCTCTGGTTAAAATTATGTCATTGTGCTCTCTCCAATGCAACTAATTTTAAATTTATAAGAAATAAATTAATTTAAAGAGGCTTTTAGATCCAGGTCAAAAAACATAGTGTTTTTAGGAGTGACTCCAGTTATC